TGCCTGCTGCCCCCTTTACAGCCAGAGCGTCCCAAAACGCCCTATGCCCAAGAAATACAGGAGCTTCTTTGGGGCGTATTTGCCACGCGTATTCATTGGAATACAGCCAGGTAGCCCTTGCTAAGAGCTTTAGCAACCTGTGACGCCCTGGCTGGCAGCCTGCCTAGCTCACTGAGGTTACTGGTTGCCATGAGCTGAGCGGGGTGCTCTGGCTGGCATACCCCGCTCAGCTCCTGGCAACTAGTGACCTCATTGAGCTGGGCGGGACATTGGACACAGGTACCGTGCACACCCCAGTAACGTGTGCCTCCAGCAGCCCCCCAGAATCCCCCCCCACCTGGTAACATGCACCATCAGCACCCCCCACCCCCTCAGGCAGCAAAAGTTGCAGGGAGGCCCCTGATTGTACGGTTAGATTGTAATGTGTATGGCATTGGTGAACATGAATCCAATTTTTTATTTCTGTCTGTATCACTGCCGGGGCAATTTATCTTCTTTGTCACCAAAGTGAGGGCACAGCTAGAATTTGAGTAACTGGGTCAGGTATGGAGGAGAAACTTCCAATAGGGAAATCTGTTCTAGTGCAGACTGTCTACGAAAGGATTTCCCTTTCTCAGGAGTAGGGATGAGATCGGGTTTGGACCGAATATGGTCTGAACCTGAACTCCTTCGAACCCAGAGGGAGTTCCTCCTGAACATGGATGGAAGCTGCTTCCTTGCTGCCCCATCAGTTGAAGCCAGGGAATCCCCTGCCCACATCTTGATGTAAGCAAAGGGGCGGGGTGCAGTGACATTATTGACCTTATATGGCTATGTTAGGTAAATAACATTGACCTAATATAGCCATGTGGACATATCAGGTAAATGGTGTCAGCACAAGCATCCCGCCCCTTTGTTTATGCAATGCCCCAACCTGCAGCTGAAGAGGCCTATGTAGCTTTGGTCTAGGTTTGGTGCAAACCTGAGCTCATCCCTACTTAGAGAGTTTTAGTTTCCGCCCCCCCCCCAAAAAAAGAAATCCCACCAGCACCCTTCCCCAACCGCCTCAATAGATTTGGATGTGCCACCAAACTCTCCTTCTCGCCACAGGTCAATACTGACAACTGCAGTCTCCAACATAGCCATGCTAAAGATAGCTAAAGATCTAGTGGTGCTGGGCTACCCTTCTCACCAACATCCCATGATGACCTGACCTCCCACCGGAGGAGGTAAGTACAGACTTGGGGGGAATACGGGTGCCACATCTGGATGTTTTGAAGTGGTTAAGTAGGAGGCTGTGGGATTTTTTTCAAAAACTTGAATTTCAAGGAACATCCCCCCAATGGTGCACACGCAGCAAAAACATGGTGGGGTTTAACCTTTTCCCTACTCCATCCAATACTAATCAAAAGATTTCGGCCTTAGCTATAATATTCAAGGCAGAATATTGACGTGAACCGAAGAATGATGGCACAGAATAGCGCAGGGAATTTTTGGATGACTGCACTGAAGAGAATGTCAGTTTAAGAATAAGTTGAAGACGGAGCTTTCCAGATCACAAAAGATTATACAATTAAGTCATGGTTCACACCTGGGCGTTTTACAGCGCGTTCCTACGCTCTGTAAAACGCTCAACATGTGAAAACCAATGATTGCCTATGGGCATGGTTCCCACCTGGGCATTTTACAGCACGTAGGAACGCGCGGCAAAACGCCCTACGCCCAAAGAAATACAGGAGCTTCTTTGGGGCGTATTTGTCACGCGTATCCATTGGGATACAGCCAGGTAGCCCTCGGAAATGCGCGTTTGTTAAAATCGTGAATCCCGGTAAAAACGTGCGGCACGAAACGTGCAACAAACGTGCATATTTGATACGCCTAGGTGTGAACTCAGCCTTACTGTATGTGGAAAGAGACTTAATTGAGTATGTTGCCGCAATACAAATGCTTATCAGTTTATGAGATTGAAACGAGTATCATTTACAAGTGGTGAGACCGTAACATACAGGGGTACAGGTACTCTTAAAAAGCTAAGACCACACAGGGACTCACATACACACATGCAGGCACTACACACACACAGACACACAAAGGTTGAACTCGATGGACCTGTGTCTTTATTCAACCTCAAATACAATGTAACTATGTAACACAAATGCACTGCAAGTCCCAGCAGAACACATGCAGGTAAGTGGCCCAGATTCATTTTTAATATAACTACCACTTGTCATGTGGTCTCTCTTTAAGGGAAGGGTCACAGTCCAGTTAGAGTCAATGATTGGCTGGCAAAACCTTGACCTCAGTCCCTTAAGCTACTTTAGCAAAGTCCAGAGGGCCGATTCCGAGGCACTTGTCATGTGACTGGCTGCTGGTGGCTTCTTCATGTTGTATATACCGGTTGTATATCAGCAATATGACCATCCAAAGTGATATTTTAGCTACGGGTGGACTCGGGAATAAGAATTGGCTCAGGTTTGAACTGAACCCGTTCCAAACCTGAGCTAATCCCAGCACAGAAGCTACACGGGGCCACCAGCCCAATCAGCTGTGGGTCGGGGTTTTTCCTGCTCTACAGCTGAACATAAAAAAAAGGGTGGGATGCTTGCGCTGACTCCATTGAACTTATATGGCCACACAGCCACATTAGGTCAATGCCATTGACCAAATATGGCCATGTGACCATATAAAGTTGATGATATCACTGCATTTCACCCCTTAGCTTACGTGAATCCGGCTTCCCAGCCAATCAGCATGGAGCCGGCCAAACAGCATGGAGCCAGCTTCCCGGCCACTCAGGAAGCCGGGTGATGGGATTGGCCGGGAATCCGGCTCCCCAGTCATGGAGCATGGAGCCGGCTTCCCGGCCAATCAGTCATTACCCGCCACCCAGCATCTTGATTGCCCGGGAAGCCGGCTCCAAGCTAGCGGAAGTACCGGTATCGGTACTCAGTATTGGCGAGTACCGAAAGATAAATATTGGTACTTGTAAACGATACAGAAAAAGCGGTATCGGTGCATCCCTACATACAATGTATGGGCAACTTTTTGTGCACGAGCTTGCTGCCAGCAAGATCCTACGTAAAACCAATATGGTGGTGTGAATGAGGGGTAAGAGGGGAATTCCAGGGCACAGACAGCAAATAAAACAGTAACAGGTTCAGGCATACCAGTTACAACTTCACTGGATGCATGCTTGCTCCAGGTCAGTGGGTGTGAAGCTTGCGCCTTTAAAAAATCAAGTTGGCAGTGGCAACTTCAATCATTTGATCTTGATAGGTTCCCTTTATGGGGATCTGAATACAAGGGTCTCAAAGCTGGGAATGAACAGGATGGAGAGCCAATGGGCCCTATTATGACAGTTCTTTGGGGCCCTTTTAGATGGAGTCGTGCCCCTGGTTTTCAGATGATGCCGTGCCTTTAAAACTTTCGCTGCCAAGGCCTTTTTTGCGTTTTTTGCACACATGTTATAATCCGCATTTTAGGCCTGAAAATTACTTCAAACCCCCCAAACATTACATATTTTCTGAAAGTAAAAACCCTGCAGAATAAAATGGTGGCAGTTGCAAATTTTATGTTGCGCGGTTAACTCTTAATCAAACCCAAAAAGTTAGTTAAAAAAAGGCAATTAGGTTAATTTTAGTGCCCAAAACACAATATAATACCCTTTTTTTGTAAAATATAAAAGATTACATTATGATGAGTTACTGGGGTGTCGGGTGGCGGGGGGCATGCACTACACTGGCCCCTGAAAGCAATCTGGTGGCACCTCAGCTGCCAGAATCGCTTCCAATGTATAGCCGACAGTCTGACATAAGCGGGTGATGTATGAAATACGCCGGTGGCAGCGAAAGGGTTAAAGAGACCCTGTCACCACACCATTTTAACAAGCATATATTTTGCATCTTAAGTGTCAGAGACTGCTGCTGGGTGCCGCCATCTTGGATATGTTGTCAGCCGACTTAGAGCTGTCACTCACTTGACATTCTATATATTCCCCTTCCAGTGGCATCACAAGGGGGGTGCGGCCTGCACCCGGGTGCCACCATTGGAGGGGTGACACCAAAATGACTTTCAGTCATTTTGGTGTCACCCCCTGTGAAAAGTCGGGCACTCAGTCATGGACCGAGAGCCCGACAGTGTCAGGAGAGAGGAGGGGACCCGGCGGCATACCTCCTCCCGCCAGATGAACGTCCTTTCCTCTCTCTGCAGGCGTCCATCACCAAGATGTCAATAAGATGACCACACATGCTCGATGATGTCACGGCGGGGTGTCACCTCTTCTCAGCTCCGGGTGTTACCCGGCCCTCGGGACTCCCCTGTCCCCTTCTCTCCTCCCCCAGCAGCTATATAAAATGTTATGTAGGGAGATGAGGAGAGGAGCAAGGGAGCTGGGTCAGCACAGAGAGTATGACCTGCAAGGATTGCGGAGGCCACGCTAGGAAATTTACTCTTCCTGAAGCAGTCATGTTTTCTAGGAAGTTCAAAGGCACATTGCAAGTGATTTAAAAATGTATTTCTAGAAAGGAAAAGTGCTGTGAGAGTTTAGAACACTTGATCTGTCTGTGCTTTTATCTGCCATTTTAAAAAATCGGTGACGGGGTCTCTTTAAGAGAAAGATTACAATAAGAACTCTGCAACAATGTTGCCGAAAAACTTTCTCTGCTGGTCACGTGTCCACCCCGGGTCATGTGAGTCACTTGTTGCAGCGGTTAAGCCCGGACGGAGTAGGAGCGCCTCGCCTCATTTGCATGGCCGCCTCCTTCCTGTACTCATCCCATCCAATGACAGCTCGCCATTTCGCCCGGGGCCGCCCTGTGATTGGCGGGTGGCGGTGCCAGTCTCCGCGCTGCTCGCTCTCCGCTGCTATAAGTGACGTTTTTTTGGCTCTCCGCTGACATTCTGCGTCGCTGAGCGGGCGAGGGATGGCACCGGAAAAGTTGTGTGTGCTGGAGAAGGGGCCCTCGGGCTATGGCTTCCACCTGCACAGTGAGAAGAACCGACCCGGGCAGTACGTTAAGCTGGTGGAGCCCGGCTCGCCCGCGGACAAAGCCGGACTCAAGGCGGGTGACAGGCTGATCCGGGTGTGCGGGGAGGACGTGAGGGAGCTGGGGCACCAGCAGGTGGTCGGCAAGATCCGGGCGGCCACGGAGCAGCTCACCCTGGAGGTGCAGGGACCCGAGGAACAAGCAGAAGACACTTCCCAGGTACTGCTGTGCTGCAGATGGTTCTGATTGGAAGGCAGTCTACCCAAAGGTGCTCATTCAGAGCTAGGTGTAGACCTGGGGGCGAGGATCTGGCAACTCCACCTGTATATGGGCATTTCTTGCACCTGCAGTCCAATGGGTGACCCTCGTATGTATGCGATTGTACCTGGGATGCATGCTCCAAATCTGCATTCGCTGCCCCATATTGAAGGAGAGGTCACATGACAAGAGTGGATCATGGCGGGGTGGGTGTGAGACCCCCTTGAAATGAATTTAGGGTGGGTGGAGTTGGGGGCTTAGTTATTCAGATTGCACTGCTAGAGTTCCCCAGACAGGGCATGAGAGACCCTTGAAATTGTGATGGGTGGAGTTAGGAGCTCAACTACAGATTCCACTGCTGGAGTTCCTCAGGCAGGGCGAGAGGGCCCCTTGAAATCATGATGGGTGAAGTTGGGGGCTTAGTTATTCAGATTGCACTGCTAGAGTTCCCCAGACAGGGCATGAGGGCCCCTTGAAATCAGGGTGGGTGGAGTTGGGAACCCATCTACACATTCCATGAATGGAGTTCCCCAGACAGGGTGTGAGGGGCCCCTTGAAATGAATGGGGAAAAAAACTGCAAAGATTTCACTGCTGGAGTTCCCCCTGACAGGGAGTGAGACCCCCTTGAAATGAATTTCCAGTAGGCAGAGTTGGGGGCTCATTTACGAATGGCACCTCTTTCTAAGTTCCCCAGACAGGGTATGAGAGCCCCCTTGAAATTTAAGTCGTGGTGGGTGGATATAGGAACTCAACTACAGATATTCCGCTGCTGGGGTTCCCTAGACTGAACATGAGATCCCCTTGAAATCAATTTGCAGTGAGCGAAATTGGAAACTCCACTATTGGGATTCCACTGCTGGAAATCCCAACACGGCATGAGACCCCCTTGAAATGATTCCACGGTGGGTGGAGTTGGGAGCCCAACTGCAGACATTTTACTGCTGGCAATCCTAACCATGCATGAGACCCTATTGACATGTATTTGCAGTGGGCGGAGTTGGGAACCAACTGCAGAGATCTGACTGAGTTCCCTAGAGAAGGAGGATGTTTGGTGATGAAATGATCGGTTCTAGGAGGACTGAGGTGGCAATAAATGTGGTGTGTGTGGATAGGGAAGAGCAAACATTTCAGAACCGATCCGGTGTGTCTGTCATCCTGATCTCCCGGTACCATTTCCCTTATGTGAGGGTTGAGATCGGCAACACGAGCTGTAAGAATCTACATGGAAGATCCGATCCGTCTGTTCTACAAGCCTGCCGGTTACATTCACGAGTCAGGATGTGTTTCCATTGACGACAATGGAAGTATTTCTAGATGTTCAATGCCAGCTCTGCCTTCTGGGGATTGGCTGGCAGTGCTGCGCTTCTCGGCTGGTTCCCTGATCCGGAGCTTTGATTTTTCTCTAGACCTTGGGAGCACTTGAACCCCCCCCCCCCCCCTGGGGCCATGTCAGACAATTCCTCGCCGTTATAATTCGTCAATGCTGGCAATTAAAGTGAACATACCCTTGGCATGTCATCCGCTCCACTTCCCTCACTGCAAGGGTCAAATGCTTAAGTCTAGAGATTGGGGGTGAATGGGCTATTGGCCCTGCATCGTACTTGACGCCGGAGTACTTTAGAGAAGAGGCTCCGAGGGAGCGGCTGCACATAATGATGGAATCCTGAGGAATATGGGAAGTTTTACAGGTTACACCACTACCCCTGGATTTACCGAGCCTTTAACCCTTGCGGTGCCTCCCCTTCCTCTGCATTACATGGATCAACTGCTCGTTAAGTCTATTGATTTGAGGGAGAAGTGGACTATTGGCCCTGCATTCTACTCGATGACTCCGGCATGTAACCGCTGGCCAGTAACCTGCAATACTTGCCCTATTCCTCACTCCCCTTCTCTCCGGTGCTCTAGGGTTGTAGGCGGCCCCTCTTCTCTAGGCTGTAGGAGGTCCCTTGCCATCCTAACATGCAATACAGGGCTGCTGGTCCTGCATTAAAGGTGATGACGGCTGAGTGTGACCGCCAGCCGGGGTGTCAAAGAGAAGCAGCTTCTGGGGGCCGGACGCAGAGTGCAGGGAATACGGGAAGTATTACAGCTTATTCCTCTACCCCCCTAGACATAATGAGCATTTAACCCTTGCAGTGCCCATCCCCCTGCATGTATTAAATTCTCCAAGTCTAGGGGTAGAGGAAGTTGTAATACCTTTTATAATGTATAAGTCCAAGCAGAGTTCAGCTTTAGATTTAATCTCTGCAGTCATTGCTCCAGGTGAAACTCTTCGACTTCATTAGGTTGCTGCTACAAATCGCACTCCTTCGGCAATTTTTATTAAAGCCGTAGAGGTGAGTGATTGTTGCTGAGTGACTAATCGCTGTGAAATGAGCAAGTTACTGTTTCAGTGGAAAAATTAAACATTTCCTTAGTAAGAAATTGCTTAATAAAACAAAAAGGTAATGCAGAGAATAAACCTTCATCTGACGCGGCTCTGGCTCGCCTCCATTCCTTGTCAGGCGATCTTCTGTGGTGACGATTATATGTTTGCTTTTTATCAGCAGAGTTTAGTAAGTAAATAGAGAGGGTGGATCTTCCCAGCAGGGCCACCGATGGGAATCAAATCCTCCGTGGGGGTGTAATCTTTCACTTTATCCGAAACAAAGAAAAGGGTTTTGGCTTTAGACTTTAAAGTTGAACTCCGCGATCAGCAAATAAAGAGTCATGGGTACTGTTACTTGAATCTTAAACTTTGTATTTCTTCCAGATCTGTGCAGTATTCCAGTTGGAGCTTCCTGTATTAAAGACCGCTCACTGCTGCTCTCTCCTTGTGCAGGGTGACTGGTCTTATCTCCACCCCTCCTATAATAGCTCCCTTTCTGGGGTGACCGTCTTGTCTCCGCCCCCTCCTGTATTAAAGACTGCTCTCTCTCCTTGTGCAGGGTGACTGGTCTTGTCTCCGCCCCTCCTGTAATAGCTCCCTGTCCGGGGTCACTGGTCTTGTCTCCGCCCCCTCCTGTAATAAAGACTCCTCTCTTTGTGCAGGGTGACCAGTCTTGTCTCCACCCCTCCTGTAATAGCTCCCTCTCCCACGTGACCGGTCTTGTCTCCGCCCCCTCCTGTAATAAACCTCGACCTCTCACGAGCAGTGCAGGCTGGTCATCTTCTGGCTTGCAGCCTGTGATTGGACAATTCAGGAGCAGCAGAAGACTGGTGTGCTCATCCTTCTATCAGAATCCTATCAGCAATGCTGCCACCCCTTCTAGTCTGAGTTCTGCTATACAAGGAGATGGAACATGAAGCCATGTTCCGCTGGGACTACAACCGTGATTGATTTCTTCCATGCAATCCATGGCAGGTATTCCCTGTTGCTGCACTGGAAGTTTCACCTATGGCAGGATACTTGCTGAGGAAGCTGCAGTCAGGCCACTGAGCAATCACCAGCTGCCCACAGACCACTGAAACCAAAGTGGTGACCAGGCTGTGAACTCTCAATCCAGCTTTGCTTGCAATGGAGAGTCGGCTGAAACATTCTCCACCAGTGCAATGAACTTTTGTTCCGTTTCCCAACGTTGTGTTGCAATCGTTGGCAGGAGCATTGACTGTTTTTCTTTGACATTTCCTTCTGCGCTTAGAGGTCATGGCCTGTTCGCTTTGTGGGTCTGCTGCTGTTGTGAGAGGTGGTGCATGCTGGGACTTGTAGTTCCCCAACATTGAAGATGGATTTGGGCAGTAGAAGTCCAATGTAGATCAATACAAAAAGCAAATGTAGTGATGGAATGTTTATTGCAGCGAGCGCAAGATGTGTTTGCGTGGTCTTCTTAATCCCCCTACATTGCTAAACACAAAGTATAGTTTAATGTGAGTATGGTAACCCATAGCAGGAAGCTGAAATCTGATTGGATGTTGTGGGTTATGACACTGAGCTGCCTGGTTTATTAAAGCTCGGCTCTAGGTGGATTATTTAAAAAAAATAAAATTAAAGATCATTAATATAATATTTATTAAAGGAGAACTATGGGGTTAAGGCCTTTCCCCATAGTTCTCCTTAGTGTAACTGGAGGACACAAACTAGCGTCCTCCCGTCACCCTAGGCTCAGTATACCGCGAGCTATTGAGACGCAGCAGTATACCGCGAGCTGCTGCTTGCGGTATATTGAGACACCGCAGCTGAAGTGGATCCCGACAATTGTGCCGGCATCCGCCCAGCTGCGTGACTGACAGCTGGCTCTGCCTATCTAGAGGCAGAGCCAGCTGTACCCGCCCCCCCCCCTTTTTTCCCGTCCGTTCCGCCAGTCAGCGCTGGAGGATCGGAGGGGGGAATCCAGCCCCTCCCCTGTCACGGCAGAGGTGAGCGAACGCCGGTATGTGTTCGCTCACCTCCTGATTTACTGAGCCGACCTGTGACAGTCTCATTGTCACAGGTCGGCTAGAACTATGAGGTGAGTGAAAAGCACGCCCCTCATAGTTCTCCTTTTAATAAAATATCTATTTATTTAGAAAAAAATGTATAACGAATATGCACCATAATGCAACAGATTGTGTTCTTCACTTTTAAAGAACACCAGGGAAATAAAAAAAAAAAAAAACTTACCTCCACACTGCAAGGGTTAAGTGCTCATTTAGTCTGGGGGCTCATAAGGCTGTTAGTTGCCTGATCCTTGGTCCTGATGGCTCCCTCCAGGCTGCTAGACCAGTCCTTGCAGCCTCTTCTCCCCTGGGCTTTGTGATCTAAGGACCGATGCCGTTATGTCTCATGCAGGTCCATTGACTTGCATTAGAAGTGAGGACACTAAGGGACATTCTACAGCCTGAGTGGAGAGGGGGAAGAGGTGAGTGCCAACTGCCATTCACTGAGTATATCTTTTATGAGAGCCTCCTAGACAGAGCATTTCACACTTGCAGTGCCGGGGGTAGCTGGGGTAGTCCTGGAGTTAGTCTTTAAATTGCATTTACTTTTTTTGCAAACTAAGTTCTACTCTATAGTTCTATAGCTTCTTCTTTGTTTAATTTTGTGGTCATGTGACTGCACCTCTTCCCTATAGACCACTATACTGACCACGCTTCGATCTGCTTCCTTGCTTGGCAGGGTCAGAATGACGCAGGAGACGGCCAAGTGATCAGATCTTTTAGAGTGTCTGAAATTCACTGAATAGTCATTGTACCATTTTTGTTTAACCCTTCACAGGCTGGACTCGTTGTCCTGATGGGATTCTAACTTTTGTGTTCTGTTTTGACAGATCGATAAACAGCCGGCGGCGTCCAACAATGAGCAGGTAGGTGTCTGATCTTCTCAGCTTTTCTGTCTTAGCTCATGAAGACTAGTTGTGTCTATTATGTGATGGAAGAATGGCTCAAGAACCGGAAATGCCGTAAAACGCACAAAATAACCACTTGTGACTGCTTTTTTAAATTAATTAATTTATTTTTTCTTTCCCTGTGCTGTCATCGCAGACCAGTGTAAGCATTGCTGTGCTTACATTGTGGCTGTCTGCCTTCTGCACTGATTGTCAGTCTAGAATATGGTTTAACTGAGATGTGTGTACAGTTGTGTCCTAGTGTGACAGAGGACAACCCATCCGCCCTGAAGATCTTAAGTCTGTTCTTACATTTTAAAGAGAGCCCGTTCAAATTGATCTCTGGCCAGAAGGTGGCGCTCTCCCTATCTAGTTTTTGCTGCTTTCCTGTTTACGGGGCTGAATAGCTCAAGCTGAAATGTAAACACTACTGAATTAGCCAAAACAATGATTGCACCCCCTCTGTCTGCCCATAAAGATTAACCGCTACAAAGTTTCAGAGTCTTAAGCCTGTGACACACTGCATGAGAAGCAGTGCGGAGCAGAGAAGCTGTGAGGCGTGGAGCTGAGTTCACTTGTAACAATTTGTTGGACTTTGCATCCTGATGTGGGCTTATACACGCAAGCAGATTGGCAGAAGATGACATTTTTCGTCTCAATCTGCTCAACTGCGCTAGCTCTCGCAAGTTGATGCGCCAGATCGAAAATTTAAAGACGCGCTGCAGGAGAAAGTCTGCAGGCTACCGCTTCCCTCTGCTACGCGCCGCTTTGCATGCAGTGTGTCGCATGCTTAAAGGAAACTACTTCACCTGTGTTTTTTGCTTTTTTGTTAATATCCTACAGTTGTGTATCCTGTAAATCGTAAACATTTTTTATTAATTTGCAGCTCTACTAGAGGTGCACCGAAATAGAAATTTAAAAAAATGAAAACCAAAATAAAAAATTGCCAGGCAAATTTTTATAAACGTTTTCATTTTTAATTTTTTATTAAATATTTTTTACTTAAGGGCTTCGAGGAAATATTGGTGGTCTAAACAGACTCCTGATATTTAGCTTTTTAAAATAGAAAACATTAGGGACTGTGTCCTCAATCTCTTTTTCTGTATCCCCAGTTATCAATGAACAGGAATCCTCTATACATTGATAACATGAGGACAGAGTATGTTTACTATAACTAACTACAACTAGGAATGAACAGGAGGTGACGTAGATCACTTCCTATTCATTCATAATTGAGGATATAGTAACCATACTGTCAATTATGTACACACTCAGCGATCACTGAGTGTTTGTTTGCATTTGCTCTCCTCTCTGACACGCTGTCACAGGAGCGAGCAGAGAGGAGAGCACAGCCTCCTGTGACAGCGCAGGCTGTCTCTGCCCCCACACTGCTCTGCCAGACTGTGATAGGCGGCTGAGCGGTGTGGGAGGTGAGACAGCGGCCGCTCGCAGCGCTCTTCTCCTGCAGCGCTCTGCTGGCGGTCACTTTTTTTCTCTCCTCCCCGCTGGGACACAGAGCAGCGCCCAGCGGGGAGGAAAGAAACCAGGGATGCGCCGATGTATCGGCAGGAAAAATGGCACTTTTGACATTCAGCCAAAAGTGCCGCTTTCGGCCGATATGTTTCGGCGGCCGATATATCGGTGCATCCCTAATCTTTACCTGTACTGTCATCGCAGACCACTGTAAGCATTGCTTTGCTTCCATTCTGTCTGTCTGCCTTCTGCACTGGTTGTCAGTACATTGTAGGAAGCCGCCGTTGGTTTGATTCAATGTCTGCTATGCAGGGACGCATAATAACCATTTGCTTGCACTTGTATCATCACTGGAGGAGAAATGACAGGAGGAGACAGACGTATACTATGTATTGGATCTTTTAAGAGTTTACATGTCAACCACAGTTAGCCTTTTAAAAAATAAAATAAAAAAGCAACATTGAATTTTCAGTTTACACTCGTACTGCTTATAAAAATGTCTCCCTGGCGCCTGTGGCGTAACAGACACAAGAAATTTAGTGGTTGTCACTGGGACAGGAATGCACCAGCAGCAATTAAAGGTCCTCCCAATCGAGAAGGTGCACCAATAAAAAAAACCTCCCCTGCTGTATCCACAAGTCCAAGTTTTTGGCTTTACATTTTGGGAATAATGTCTCCAAACCATAATGAGCAATTACTGATGATTAGTGTCCTGATGTCCTACCTGCGGCCCTCGGGCCATTGCAGACGGTCTGTTCTGTTTTTTTTTTCTCTGATCTTTTTACATTGGATGTTCCTGAGAGAAGTATCAAATGTGGCCCAATAACATTTCAAGAGGGCTGTAATGTGGAAGAGTTGATTAGTAAAGGGGATGTAACAGTGGAGATCTCCAGAAGTCTTGTGTAGTGTCTCCAGTCTATGGCTGTGTCTTGATGCAGATCTGTTTTCCAACCACTCCTAATAGTATGTGTCTGAACTCTGACCATTTTGTGGGATGGCTGCAGGCTCTGGCCATCTCCTGTGGGATGCCTAGTGTAGCAAGGCTGCAGTCTGACCATCTCCTGTAGCATGCCCCTAGGCTCTGTCTAATTCTATTGCATATCTGCAGTCTGACAACTTTCTGTAGCATTACATTCACTAAATATTTTGTTTGGGTGATGTCAGGTGCTGCGTTTGAGCCCCCCCCCCCTATGAGTAAGTTGACCCCCACTAATTTAGGATTGCCGACTCCTGATTGGTGGCAATGGGATGGTGCACATCACTGCCCCATGGTATAATATAAGGCTATTTATGTTTTCTGAGGGGGATTATGAACTGTTAATGGTAGTTATTCCACTGGCTGGCATTTGTGTGTAGGTGGAATGTGCCTTGAAGGCCGGTTAAAGCTGCAACTTGAATAGTGTGGGGATCCCCGTCGGGTTCAACAGGAAGTGAGGCCAAATCCTCATCTTCAGTTCTGGTGATAACTGTAAAATGTGGGTACCCTGGTCGCTGCCACCATGGTAACGAGGACAAATAAGAGGGTGACTTTTCCCCAGGGGGGACTGCAGGAACCTGATGGGGGTTCAACCCGTCACTACTCTAGCATTTCTTAACCTTTGTTCAGCAACAGCTCCCTTTATTTAAAACCTTGCAGCAAGTCAGTCTAAAATGGAATAATTTTAAGGGGGGTGGAAAAAACAGAAAAGTAGGGTTCCCTTTCACATCAGGAGCCCCCATTTTCATTAGATCAAAGTCCTACCATATCAGGAACCATGGCTCTGGCAGTATGGCGGAGAGCGGTAGGTGGAGCATGCCTGGACAGGTCTTTTCTGAATGGATTCCACCCTTCCAGGATTAGTGTAATTTTATTTCCATGGTGCCCAGCCGGCACCATGAACAGGCATGTTGCGTTGCAAGGCCGGGACGCTCTCCATGGTGCCATGGGACCCTGGTTGAAAAAGGCCACACTACTCTATTTAAAAAAAAATATAAATAAAGACTGAAATACAGAAGTGAATGACGTGCCGTGTGAATGAGGACTGGTTTTTGCATTGTCTTTTATTCTTCTGATGGCTCACCACCCTCTTAAACCTGTCGAACTTCCTCTAGCTTCTGCAAATAGCTAATAAACTTTAACCCCCTTCCCCCTCCCCCCCTTCCTATTCTGTTTTGTACTGACCAAACTCTGTTATTTTTTGGTATATGTGGCTTTAGTTGTCCTAACCAGTGCAGGAAGTGCTTCAGGCAGTTCTTAATTACTGTTGCACATCCACTTTTTATTTTCTCTAAAATTCACCCCCTTTCTCCTTTTGTGTATGAATTACCGTACCATGTATACAACACAACTCACTGCACTGCATGCCGCAGCACTCTGCAGTTGAACTTTTTGTGACCCTTCCATAAAGTTGAAAAAAGGAAACTGTGTGATGCGTTGTAACAGCGCATTGCACCAACCCTACAAAATGCACTCGGGTGGGCGGGCTGGTGTTAACGAGCCCTAAAAGGTGTTTGCACCAAGCTACATGTGAGCAGTTTGCGTTAATCTGGGAGTCTAGTGCATGCTGGTGAACTTTACCTACCATACCATTAGCAGGACCATTCACCCTGCACATATATCAGTGAATGTTCCTTTTCTTTGGATAAGGCCAAAAACTAGGGATGCACATTTATTTATTTTTTATTTTTTTGTCCTGCATCAGGTTTTTCTAAAAGAATGCAGACTAATGATTTTAGGACAGTGGCAGAACTACCAGGGGCACAATTGCTGTGCCCCTGGTAGTTCTGCCACTGACTCCAAGGTATAGAAGGACTACAACACCCAACAATACATTATACAGCAATGCATAATATGAAGTCACATACTCTGTGTTGCTCCGGGGTGGTGGCCAGATGTCTCCAGGGTCTCAGGATGCCTGTGGGGATCTCGCTAAGGGGGCCAGATGGTCTCGGGAGGTGTGGTTATCCTGTAAAGAGATGTGTGGCCAGAGCTGTAAACAGGTGCTGTGTGGTTCACAGGAAGGCTGCCAAGATCCCCAGAAAGCATGGGACCTTGGGCAGTGCAGGTATCGGGGCATTTTCACTAGGGCTGCAACAACTAATCGACATAATCGATTATAATCGATTATTGAAAAAGTTGTCAACTTTTTCAATAATCGATTAATCGGCTTCCGATCAGTTGGCCCTGTTCACAGCTCCACACGCTGTGCGCCGTACCTCCTCCCCACCTCACGCTCGCCGCTGCCAGACCCGCCCGCATCCATGCTCCACACGCCGCACACTCACCGCCCACCCACATCCACGATCGGCACAGGGACGCGGGGAGATGTAGTAAGGAGGAGCAGGTGTGGGGTGATGACAGCTGCCGATAGACAGGCCCGATCTCAGAAGCAAGTTGCTGGAAGACTGCTCAGGTAAGCATGCACTTTCCCCACACATGGTGCTCTATAATGTATTGCTGGGATTTGTATTCCTCTATAGCTGATGGTACATTGTGCTGTATGTTATACATAGGAATACAAGTCCCAGCAATACATTATACACTGTATGTATAATGTATTGCTGGGATTTGTTGTACTCTTCTATAGCTGGTGATATTCTGCATTGCATGGTATAATGTACTATTGCTGGGATTTGTTGTACCCCTCTATAGCTGGTGATATTCCGCATTGCGCTGTATAGAGGACTACAAATCCCAGCAATAATACATTATACAGTGGTGCAATGCTGAATACCACCAGCTATAGAGGACTACAAAACCCAGCAATAGTACATTATACAGCGCAATGCAGAATGCCTCCAGCTATTATGTACTATTGCGGGATTTGTTGTATTCCTCTATAGCTGGCGGTATTCTGCATTCATTGCTGTATAATTTTACACTTTCCATTTCACTATATTGCACACCACACTATCTTTCTTTTTTACTTCCACCGCTCCAAGCTTGCTCCTGTGATGGGACTACAACCTCAATACAAACTAGTAGTCCCATCACTGGAGCCTTTTTTTTAAACTTTATTTTATTGTTTATCCGATTAACCGATTAATCGAACCTAATAATCGGCTAACCGATTTTGAAAATAATCGTTAGCTGCAGCTCTAATTTTCACGAGTATCAGCACAGGCATTGGTGCATCCCTAGCAAAAATGAACATTACTAATTATTTTCTTTTCAGGCTGAATGTATTGTGATGTGATGCTGCATTATGGCCCATAGATGGAGCATAGGTAATACTTATTTCATGTGCTCCTCAGCTCCATCTATTGGCCATAATGTGGTATTACAATACATTCAGCCTGAGATTAAAATATATTCAGAACATTCAGTTTGGTCATTCGCCCAAAATGAACATTCGGATATTCCCTTCATCCTGTGAATTGTTTTACAATAGACTCAATGAAGCCCAGTGAACATGCTCTCTGCTAGAAAATATATTTTCTACAGCTGTCAGCAATCACATAATGCTTATGTGCTCTGGGTGTGTGCTCAGACATTGGTTTAAAGGGGACTTTCACCTGCACCCTACCCATTGGTATAGCTGGCAGCAGTGGTACTATTCTTGGACCAGCTGACCATTTCCTTCAAGTAAACCTGCACTAAATGGGGTCTTCATCTACAACTATAATCGAATATGCTATTTCAGGGGAATATAAAGCAAACTTGTGCTTTTTATTTTAAAACCGGCCCCCCATACCTTGTGGCTTGCAGCATTGACTCCGTCCAGTTGCGTGATGCAGGCGCTGTCCGGGTATTCAACAACCACTGCGCCAATGGCCCGCAGGCTGAACGTAAAAAATCTTGGTGTATGGGGAGCCTTAGGGTGTGATGCTGGTGAAAGGAGCATTAGTGAACCTTTTTTTGCATAGAATGGCATCAGCACAGGTGCACTTTAGGAAGGGTACAAGCGTTTTCAGGCATCAACTGCCCCCAGCATGAAAGGCCTAAGAAATGCACACAGATCTTGATTGTATCCAACCTGACAACAACTTTCTTAAGAATACAGGTTTCCAGAGTTCTGACTTTCTATTTCGCATGCTTGTTCCGAGGCAACGCCTTAAAGTATTGAAGTCTGACACAGCCAAGCAACTAGTATTGTTGGGTTTCCAGTAGGGATGCACCAATACTAGTATCGGTGCTGATGCCAAGTATTTGGGCGAGTACTCGTACTCTCCCAAATGCTCTGATGCCTAGCCCGATACTTCCAGAAGCTGGGCAGTGCATCATTACACACTGCCCGGCTTACTGATTGGCCAGAGGCCGGTTCCCTGCTTGTCAAAAGTGACGAAGCATGGGGACAACGTCCCTGCTAATCGGGAAGCTGGCTGGCGAGCCATTACACGCCGCCTGGCTTCATGAATGGGACTTCCGCTATTCGGTATTAGTGCGTACCGGAAAAAGAATATCGGTACTCGGTATCGGTGCATCCTTAGTTTCCAAGAGCGGCAGCCTCCATGTTTGTTAGTACAAGGTTCCTTTTGGCTCTTGAACAATAAACACGCCTTGTACTAAAAAAACAAATAAATTAGTTTTGCTCATGCCTGTTTGTTTAGCAGCCCTCCATTCATAAGTCCTGTACAGCACATGATTAAAGTGAAGTGTCGGACTATGCACAAAGCTGCATGGTTCAGTGCTGTCTAACGGAATGTATCCCTCAATCGGCATGCATGCTGATCCCTGCGTCAGGTGTGGGTTGGGTATCCAGGGATACTTTCATAAAACGTGCTGCAGATACCTTTATCAGGAAGTAGAAGGAAATCTGATCTGGTGGGACAATTGGTCAGTGGCCTAACAGGTCACCAAGGGCTGCTGGAGAAAGGGGAAAGGTTAGCTTTTAGGGATGCACCGATACCAGTATTTTTCGGGATCGAGGACTGATATGTATGTTTTTCGGTACTCGCCGATCAGAGTACCGGCAGTCCCATTCAGGAAGCCAGGTGGCGTGTAATGACAAAGCATGGAGCCGGCTTTCTGGCCAATCAGGAAGCCGGGCGCCATGTAATGACGCAGTGCCCGGCTGAAGGCCTCGAGTACTCGGCATCGACACGCATAGCGATAATAGTATCGGTGCTTTCCTATCAGATTTACAAACTTTCTTGATTTGCCTGGCTGAGGGAGCACATTCATGTGTAGTAAATGTGCTTAGGAAGGTAGGAGCTAAAGATTGACTGTTAAAAGCCATTCTTAAACCAGCTGCCTTGGCTGCAGATGTCACGCTGTGATTTTAGTATTCAGCTTTACATTCACCTGTTGTGCGTTGCTCCGCATTCAAAAAGGGCTTCATTGATAAAAGTTCCGGCGGATCCTGTTGGCGTGGCACTAGGATCTAGCTTAATTGATGACCCCTAGAGAGAACCTCACAAGTTGGACACCTGATGTAAATTTTTAAGGAGCATTGGCAACCTGGCTCCTGTGCTTTGTCCAGCTCTGATAAAGCAGCGCTATAAAATAAGAATTGTTGGCCTTATTTTATGGCAACAGATTAGATTTAACCGTGACTAGATAATACGTGTTTGCATTAGGGAAGTACAGAGTTCTTCTTGGACAGCTGAGTAAATGAGAATACATCATATGTTTACAGGCTATATGGAGCGTTGGGTGGCTTTTTGGTGCGTGCAAGAAGTTTCTGCACTGCTGCGGAGCTGACACTTTGGCATTGATACATCTCATCTTGATTCTATTAAACACTCGTGTTTGCCTTTTGTTTGCCATTACGTGCATGGTGCAAGCACAAGAGTGCAGATTCTGATGGCATGCCTAGGCTTGTAGAAGATGCCATTAAAGTGGCAGTCACCATGTCCTGTTTGCATGGAAGTGTTCCAGCTATAGCCTGACTGTGCTGTCTTATTAAAACAATTGTGAGGCTTTTTGTTTTCTGTGCAGATGTGTATTTGTAATGGTGACGTTGGTCTATAGGGAGCTATTCTATAGTTAAAATGGCATATTCTTCCAATACTGTACTTGCGTATTTTTGCTGTAGTGTATCAGTACGTTGTTCTCCCTTTTTTGCGGTGTTTTGAGAACCCCTGCTGGGGAGGCAAAAGAGGAATTCCCAAACACACCCTCTGCTTATGCCTTCCTCTCTCATTGGGAGAGATTAGAAATAAATGGGTAAAGAAGTCAGTTCTAAGCTCCTCACAGCCTCCAATTAGATTCCAACTTGCTTTGGAAGTTTGAATATTCTTGGTGAGGAGAATAGAGTTGCACAAGCTTCAGGAAATTCCCCCGTGGCCCTGTGAGGTGATATGTGGATTCTGGCTGAAGATTAGAGAGCTCAGGTTAAGGTAAACTAAGTGAACGTTCTTCTTTTAGCACAGGTGCAGTGTATGATTTATATAGTTAGTCGTGTTGAAAAAGACAAGTCCATAGAGTTCACTCTCTAGACCAAATTAATGGGTAGCATTTATTTCACATGTCGCCTGTAATTACTCTTCAATCTGGCCACACATGTTCCCCGCATGTGATTTTTGGAAGGAAATGTAACTATATGTAAAAGTTTGAGGTGAAAACTACATTAAAATACACACATTCACATTTTGTGGAATAGTACCCCAACATATTAAGTCATGCAACCTCAATCAGGTTTCTGATTGAGTTGGACCCCATGTGACCCACACACTTTGAAGGTACAACTATTAATTTGTTTGGTCTGATTGTCACTAGTTCTAATCCTCAGCGAGCCTTTGCCTACCGGGAAATCTGTCTACTGTAGCACTGGGGTCCACCAGGATTGCTGACGTGGCTCGTCTGGTGGACTGAGGTGTATAAATGGTACCTGTGACTGATGAGCATGCCCTTGGGTAACAAGCTTATCATCCCCTTGGATAACCTGATCTTGCCATGTCCAGTTTCAGGCATAAACATGATCACTTTGGTTTTAGTAAACCTATTTATGCTATGGAGCAAGAAAGTGTTCTATGTAGATGGGGGGTTCTGTTCAAATGAACATAAAATGGGTCAATACCTCCTTCTCCATTCTTCACCATTTTAAGAGTCCTTTTAATAGGCCTTTATGCTAATCTTAATGCCTGCACTTGAATTGTTATTGTTGCAGCCTCTCTGGGATACTTCATTTTAATTCACTTGTATTTGCTCCCTAACTTGCAGATGCTTAGGGCCGTAAGACCCCCGGAGAGGCAGTCTTTACCTAATACCAGAGCTCAGTGATGACAGGTGCTCAAATATGCATCACATAACAAAGGTGCTACATTGGGGGGAGACTACATTTTGGTAAATTAGTTTACCCTCTTCCAGCAGCCTGGACTGTGTCGGTTATCAGTCCTAAATGGGAGACAAGTCAGTCTCTCTGCTTTGATGGGGAGAGTACAGGTGAATAGCAGCACACACAGCTGCCCCTGAGATCTAAGGCTGCACTGTTGGAAGTTATTATTTCTTATAAATCCCCATTCATGACTGGATCTCTAAGATAAGTGAAAGATTCCAGCCTGTGCAGGGGCTTCATTTGCAAAAATGGATTATATGAACTTGTATATTTGTGAATGACAGATGCCTGGCATTGGTGCCAGTAAGTATAGTCACTGACCATCTTCCAGTGACTGCAAGACCACAGTATGGCAACTGGATGCAGTATTATCTTGGACGCAAACACTCTTTATTTCGTATAGTATCTTTTTTTTGGGTTGGGGTGGAAGATCTTCTTGGGACAGGTCCACAGATCGAACTTGCTGTCAACCGATCATAAGCTTAATCCACCTCTACTTTGTTTCTCCACAGAAGGAATTTCGCCCAAGGCTTTGCATCATGAAGAAAGGACCAAATGGCTATGGATTTAACCTACACAGTGACAAAAGTCAACCAGGGCAGTACATCCGGGCTGTAGATCCTGATTCACCCGCTGAGCTGGCTGGACTTTTGCCAAAGGATCGCATCATTGAGGTACGCTCATCTACTTTGATAAGGTTACCAGGCAACAAGCCTTCAAAAAACAGGTGACGCCTATCCTGGTGATAGGAAAAGGCAAATGAGATATGAGGCCGGGCAGTCATATGGTATAGCTCAAACAAGCAGCATTACCTGACCACCTCACAGCATCTTCTCCGGTTATTTTCCCCGCAGGTGAATGGTGAGAGCATGCTGGGCAAACAGCATGGAGAGGTGGTGCTTGCCATCAAGGCCGCGGGTGAAGAAGCAACTATGTTGGTGGTGGATCCCGAGACAGAGCTTTACTTCCAAGAGTGTCATGTGACCCCAGGACGGGAACACCTGTCAGGTGAGTGAAATTGGATTGCGACATGCTAATGACATGTTCAATCCTCCGACCCCCCCCCCCCCCCTCCTCTTTCTCAAACTCATATGG